TGTAATGATTATTACACTCATATTGCACTTAGCGGGTGCCAGGCACTGTTCTAAGTGCTTTCCGTGTCTCCTGCTGAAGCATATGAAATTGCTGATATTTGACCATCTTTGAACCATAGAAACGGTAACTTCATATCATATGGTTCAGTTTATTGACTCATTTGAACCTCACAACAATCCTGGGTGGTAGATATCCCTATATGTCTGTTTTACAGATGATAAAACTGAGATACAGACAGGGTAGTGATTTGCTGGGAGAAGTCATAGCAAGAGGCAGAGCTAGGATTTTAATATCCGTGGGGTCTGGTCCAAAGTCCAGGTTTTTTTTTTTTTTTTTTTGAGACGGAGTCTCACTCTGTCACCCAGTGTGGAGTGCAGTGGCGCAATCTCGGCTCACTGCTGTCTCCGCCTTCTGAGGTTCAAGCGATTCTCCTGCCTCAGCCTCCTGAGTAACTGGGACCACAGGTGCGTGCCACCACGCCTGGCTAGTTTTTTGTATTTTTAGTAGAGACAGGGTTTCACCGTGTTAGCCAGGATGGTCTTGATCTTCTGACCTTGTGATCCACCCACCTCGGCCTCCCAAAGTGCTGGGGTTACAGGCGTGAGCCACCGCACCCGGCCATGCTCTTAACTGCCTCACTCTGATGCCCCTCTGAAAGTACCCGTGTTTCACAGGTCTCTGTGTATGTTAGTAGATATTTGCTATAGTACCACAGTGATCCAAATATAAATGCACACTAGTTATGTTTCTTTCTGAACTACGTTCGTTCGTTCTTCTTGGTTTCTTTCTCTGAGGCCTTGATTTAATTGAAAAGAGGATTAGGAATCTGAGTTTTGTTTCTCTCTTTGCCTTGTGTTACATAATCTTGGGCAGAGGATTAAAGTTTCTTGGCATGCTCATTCCTGTACCTTTTGGATTTTAAAAAAGTTACATAAAGTACAAGAGAAGAGCATTGCAAGACGGGGTTCTTAAGTGGCTGGTGATGACCTGCTCATTGTAACTAGTAGACTGCCTAATTTGAAGCAGATCAATTTTATTCTCATTTACATCAGTTTATTAGGACATGACAAAGTATATGGAGTGGGTGGTTTAGACAACATAAATTTGTTTTCTCACCGTTCTGAAGGCTAGAGATCTGAAATCAAGGCATTGTCAGAGTTGTTTCTTTTGAGGCCTTTGCTTGGCTCGTAGATGGTCATCTCCTTGTGTCTCCATGTTCTTCCCTCTATACCTGTCTGTGTCCTAATCTCCTCTTATGAGGACACCAGTCATATTGGATTAAGTCATGCCCATATGACCTCATTTTATCTTAATTACCTCTTTAAAAACCTTGTCTGCAAATACAGTCACATTCTGAGATGGTGGGTGTTAGGACTTCAGCATATGAATTGGGGTAAGCTGGGGACACAGTTTTATTATTAAAAATTTTGTCCATTTATCATGTATATTTGTTGTAATCCTTATCAAACTCTGTGTGGAAAAAGAAATAGTTATACATAAAATGAACTTTATGGGAGTTCTGAAATGGGAGAAAGCTCTGAGAATTAGTCAAACCTGTAAGTGACTACTTCATAGACACCATTATTTGTGTTTGGAAAGATACAGGTGTCTTTTCAGAAATTCAGATGGCATGTGTTGCCAACAACCCCAGTGCAGGAAATGCCCTTTGTGTTCATGAGTTTGACATTTGTGTGTGTGTGATTAAGTGAATGATGACAGATTGGTGTCTCATATAAGAGTTAATTTAAAAAAATGATATAGTGGAAGATGTAGAGTGCATTCCTAGGATGCTGGCCATCCACATGGCCATCTGACTTAGGAGAGAAGCATCCACTAGTATTTGGTCCATGGATGCTCTGTTGACCAGGCTTGTTCATTTATGAGCAAGTGCTGAAACTGTCTGGAACCTGGGGAAGTCCCAGATACGAGAACTGCATTATCAGAGTCAGGCTGTTTTGGTAATAGTGTTCTGTGAAGAATCATGGTATAAAATATTATTATGAATCACTTATCAAAATATTTTTTATAGAAATGTTGATAATTCAGTAATACTTTTTAGGTGAAATTCTGTTTTATTGTGATAATTCACAAAGATTGCTGATGAAATTCGTGATTCCCGTCATTACGTTTGTGAATCCATTTTGCAAATATATTTTGACCACTTCTTGGTTAATAGTGCCTTAAGTTCAAGTTGTTTTTAATAGCCCTAGATCAAAAACAAACAAAAAACCACGTAGGTTGTTTCAAAGAAGTATCTGAGCAGTCCTATAAAGTTTGTCTGTCAAAGTATTATCAGAAGCTTGCAGCTGTCTCTCTCAAGGCAGTGTCAATTTCCTTTGTTATGCTGTGGTCCCTGAAGTAGTTGAAATAGTGACTTTTGCATTTTGTAAACTACAGAGAGTCAACACTTCAAAGAAACATATTTGATCTTCCTTTGTATAAGCTGTTTATACAACTTTGATTATACTTGAGAAATGAGGTATTGTCCAATGTTTATACAGTCACAAGTCAGGACTTTACCAGAAAAACCCGGGCATATGAGATGTTCGTTCTGACTTGAGTTTATAGAAGTTTCAGTTCTGAAGTTTAAGAGGAGTTTCACTTCATCCATTTTCATTTTGAAGGTAGGCGTTTTTATAATGTCATTGGTATCTAATTTTTAGGACCTTTTGGTTTTCAAAGGTCACTGTGATCATTTTGTTTTGTTGATACTAAGTTAAGGCAGTTTTGACTTGGAGCAGTTCTCCATTTTTCTAGTACATAGTCCTTGATATTCATAAACTTCTGTAAGATTGTCCTTTTGAGATCAGTGTTTATTGGTAGATACACTTGATGTGGTCAGGGTTTTTGTTGGTTTGTTTTATTTTTTGTCTTCTGATTTTAATCTGTTTTATTTAGGAAGGTACACATTTTTGTGTGTGTGTGTGTGTATGTATGTGTATTTAAGTCTTTTCTTGTAATAATTGATATTATCCAGCTAGTCTAAATCTTTTTTTTTTTCTACAAAGAAGTCTCCAGTGTGACTACTTCCATATTTCACCATTTCCTCAGCTCTCTATTCTTTGTTGTTCTTTGTAGTTTCAGGAAGCCATTGTGTAGACTACACACACACACACACACACACACACACACACACACATATTCCTTGGCAAGTTCCTTCTTTAAGCTCATTAGTAATTTTTAGAGATCTCAGAGTTTTAAAGAAGTGTTAATTTACAACCTCACGTGTTTGTTATGATTGTCTAGCATAGTTAGAGAAATCTGAATTATCTGGAAATTGTGAGCAGCCAAGTACCTTTGAATTTTGGAACTAGTCAAAGGTATGTGTCTACTCATGGGAAGGTCTTTGTGAGTATATCTGAAACTCTCAGCTGCCTAGTGATTTTTCACTTTTGATCATGTCTAAACGTACACTTTGCACTTTGTTTCTGTGATACCTATAGAATTTATGTGTTTTGACAAACTTACAAAAAACTTGCCAATGGAAGAGCAAAGGTTTCCTATGTCTTCCTTAGTCTGTAGTCCAGTTCATAGTTATGTTTCAATTCATAATTACCTTACATTAAACACCTTTTCTGAAGAGATAATTATATAATTTTAATTCATGAAATCTCAAGATTTAAATAGATTTTGAAGGATACATCGAATGCTTGAATCTACAGCATTTCAGCCACATGACAATTTTTTTTTTTTTTTTTGAGACCATCTCTCTCTTTTACCCAGGCTGAAGTGTAGTGGCACAATCTTGGCTCACTGCAACCTCTACCTCCCAGGTTCAAGTGATTCTTATGCCTCAGCGTTCTGAGTGGCTGGGATTATAGGCGTGTGTCACCACGCCCGACTAATTTTTATATTTTTAGTAGAGACAGGGTTTCACCATATTGGCCAGGCTGGTCTTGAACTCCTGACCTCAAGTGGTCTGCCTTCCTTGGCCTCCCAAAGAGCTGGCATTACAGGAGTGAGCCACCATGCCTGCCCACATGACAGTTTGTTTTCTATTTACATTTTCCAGCAAAGGGGACCTAGGGACCTCTTAAGGCAGTCCAAACCATTATGTAGGACAATTTTTATTATTATAAAATTCTTACACAACTTTTTTTTTTTTTTTTTTGAGATGGAGTTTCACTCTTACTGCCCAGGCTGGAGTGCACTGATGCGATCTTGACTCACCGCAACCTCCGTCTCCTGGGTTCAAGTGATTCTTCTGCTTCTGCCTCCCAACTAGCTGGGATTACAGGCATGAGCCACCACACCTGGCTAATTTTGTATTTTTAGTAGAGACAGAGTTTCTCCATGTTGGTCAGGCTGGTCTCGAACTCTTGACCTCAGGTGATCTACCCGCCTTGGCCTCCCAAAGTGCTGGGATTACAGGCGTGAGCCACTGTGCCTGGCAATTGTTAGAAAATTCTTATACAACTTGAACTGAAGATTGACTCTTGGCATCCCTCCATGTGCTTGCTTATCAGAGTGACCCAGAACAAGTGTCATCTTTCCATAGGCCAGATGGGATGGTTCATGCCTATAATCCTAGTGGTTTGGGAGGCTGAGGTGAGAAAATTGCTTGACTCCAGGAGTTTGAGACCAGTGTAGGCATAATAGTGAGACTCCATTTCTCCAAAAAAGAAAAAAAATTAGCCAGGCGTAGTGGCAGGAGCCTGTAGTCCCAGCTACTTGGGAGGCTGAGGCAGGAGGATTGCTTGAGCCCAGGAATTTGTGGTTACGGTGAGCTATGCACCACTGCACCCCAGGCTGGACAACATTGATACCCTGTTTCTTAAAAAAATCTTAACTAGTAAAGACTGTATAGAGAAGTTCCTGGGATGCTAATTATAAAATAAATGATGTATTTTATGTTCTAGTTGCTAGCAAATAAAACGTATTTTGTGTTTATATTTCTTCATTCACAGGCAGCTGAAAAAGTTGGATGAAGATAGTTTAACCAAACAACCAGAAGAAGTATTTGATGTCTTAGAGAAACTTGGAGAAGGGTGAGTGTAAATAAACTGTGGGTAGGCCATTGGGTCCCAGTCATTTTCCTACTTCAGAAGAAGCAGAAGGATATGAACCTTTCAGCATTGCTCTAGGTGGGTTGGAAGGTAAATTTACAGCTTGTGATGTTCTTCTTCGCTTTACTCCAATCACTATTATAGACAGATTTAGTGATTCCTGGTCTTTTTAACACGAAGAATATCTATTGTTTTCTCTTTTGTAGAATCTGTGGTTTGTATGATTTTATCTACTTAACAGATAGCACTAATTAGATTATAATTCTATAAGAAATTTTAAAATTTGCTGTTCATAATTTCTGATTGGTTTGCAATAACTGTTTCAATGAAAATCAATGGAATTTAGTATTTAATATTTGCACCTTTGTGAAATATAGCAAATCAAGCACTATCACCACCTTTGCAGCTACTTAGGAGATCCACAATCCTGGGTTGGGAGCCAGTGGATTTCTTGAAACACAGATTTGTTAATGCGTTTATAAAATGCTGATGAAACGGTATTAGTAATGTGCAGTGACCATCATTGACTTTCATGATACAATAAAGTTTACATAATTTTTATACTTTCATATATCCTTTTAATTCAATCCTGTGTATTTATTCCTTCCTCTGTAATGACCGGGAAATTAAAATGTTAAGGACTTAATTTCTTAAGTTTTTCTTGTTGATTTTTGATTAGGTGATACAATCATATGATTCAAAATTTAAAAAAATATTAAAATGCATACAATTAAAAAAAAAAACAAAACTGCCTCCTACCTCTCTCTGTCTCTCAGCCACCCAGAATCTCCGAGGGTAGCGGCTTCTTGTGTGTCTTTCAGAGACAGGTTATGCGTGTGTGTCTCTGTATTTTTAATCCCTTGGGAGTATTTCTGGTTCAAGGGAAGACCTGACATACTTGTAAAAACAACTACCGACTGAAGACTGTATGCTCTTTAAAATCATTTCCTTTATGTCATTAGATTATTTTTTGGGTTTAGTATTTTTTATGTTAGGAGACAGATTTACAACGTTAAACCCAATCCTGGATTACATGAAATGGTTTTTCATGATTTACCTCCTTGTAAAAAACATTAGTCATCGTCTTTTTGTAAGTTGGAAAAATACTCTTTGGAATCCAGCAAGAAATCAAGCAGAGAAGGGAAGTAAAAGATGACACACCAGCTGTGCTGTGAAAAGACAAGTCCAAGATGAATCTGAAGACTGCCAGTTGACTGGCATCATTAAAGGTATGGGGAAATGACAGTCCCTCTACATCTGTTGCCTGCCATTTTCAGCTTCAGCTTCCCATCCTTGCTGTTTTCCCTAAGGCAGCGAGGCCATGACCTTTAATCTAGCAATGCTCATAAGTTATACTTAAAATAAGGTCAAGACTGATAGGCATAATTGACTCCGCAACTAACTTATTTCTCTCATTTCTAACGCAATTTGCTCTTATTACTATAATGTGAGGCAGACCTGGGTTAAAATCCTTGCTCTACTGTTTATTGGTCATAATAGACAAGTGGGCTTGAGCAAATTGCTTACTATTTTGGAGGCTCACAATCCTCATCTGTAAAGTTGGGATAATAATATATAGATTAATAGAGTCATGTTATTACCTGAGGTAATTAGGGTAAAGTATAGTGCTTGTCACAATAATAAATGTTCAGTAAATGGCAACTATTGCTATTCTATTTTAAATGTATCAACTGAAGCATTTTTGAGATCTCATCATGTCAAGTCTTAAAGTATTTTTAGGTGTTCTTACAGGTAGCTCTGTTTGAGCTGTTTGAGTTTGTGGAATGTCAAAGGAAGACTATAGACAGAGAATATATCAGGAATAAAATGTAAACAAAAATAAGCTAATTATGATTTTTTAAATTGTATTTTATTTATTTGTTTGTTTATTTATTTTTGTAGAGATGAGGTCTCAATATGTTGCCCAGGCTGGTCTCGAACTCTTGATCTTAAGTGACCGTCCTGCCTCAGCCTCCCAAAATGCTAGGATTACAGACGTGAGCCATTGCACCTGGACAAATTGCATTTTAGATCTGTGGATGTCTTCTGCAAGGAATGTGGAAATTTCCCTATGAAGATATCACCAGGGAGAAAACAAAGCTTCAGATCTTTCTTCCTATACTATCACCTTATTGTTCTTCTAAATAACAACAGATTTCTGGTATTTCTTGGATTTCTGTTATTCTGACTGAATGAACCTAAGAAAGCCTCATTTAACTAGGAATATTTTGAAGGAAGACCTTCACTGTACTTTTTTTCCAAACGTGATGCAATGCTTTTTGTTGTTGTTGTTGTTGTTTTTTGAGATGAAGTCTTGCTCTGTCACCAGGCTGGAGTGCAATGTCACAATCTTGGCTCACTGCAACCTCTGCCTCCCAGATTCAAGCAATTTCCCTGCCTCAGCCTCCTGAGTAGCTGGGACTACAGGTGCACGCCACCACACCCGGCTAATTTTTTGTATTTTAGTAGAGACGCGGTTTCACCATGTTGGCCAGGATGGTCTTGATTTCCTGATCTCGTGATCTGCCCGCCTCAGCCTCCCAAAGTGCTGGAATTACAGATGTGATTGGTGCCTGGCCAGTGCTATTCTTAAATTGTTCTGGAGAATGAATGGTTTGTGAATTCTCACTGACTTGTATCTTGTGAAGTGAGCTCTGGCTAAAAAAACTGTTGGATTCTGGAAGCTGCAGTCATTCTGTGTTATGAGGGTCATATGGATCTGTGGCAGAGTAGAGTCAAAGCTCCAGACCAGAATGAGTGGAGAGCACTTGGGAAGTGTTTTCAAGTGGAGCCTAGCGCCTTTTTTCTTCTGATTAAAGTTGTAGACATTGACTCATTTAAGTTTTTATCATAGAATGATAACAAAAGCATCTTGCCCATGGTTTCATAAAAAATGAGTGCTATCGTTAAGACTTGTACCTGGTTAATTTGGCCTCAGATACTGTAGTATTTCCATTTTTCTACATAGATCCTTGCCTTGGATGGCTTATGTAAAACAGCTACTTCTCCATTCTCTGCTGTCAGTTGTAATTCATTGAATCATCTCATTTTGTTGTAGGGAATCAAGTTTTAAGGGACTTGCTTGTGAGTATGATTGCTGAAATCTTCTAACCCCTCCTCCCCTTCAGATTACTGTAAATGCAGTATATGGAATCAGGAATCTTAATTTCATATGAGCTATCAGAGTTTTCCTTGCTATCAGGATGCATAGGGAGGTATGGAGAGTATTCTGGTCAAGATTACTGAGTGAATGTATGCAGAGAACTTTCTTTCTAATACATAAGAATAATGAGTGAAAGTTATTTTAAATATAAAGATATACAGACAGCTATGGACAAGGGATAGGAAAGAAATCTAAATAATCAGTGGAGACTAAAGCATGCCTTATCCTTGTCAGGAGATTGCATTTGAGCTTCCTGCATGAAGTTGGGGGCTGGAACTCGGCTTCATCTATGAACTGAAGCTGAAATAAATTTGCCTGACTACCACCAGAAGTGTCGTTTGCCTGTGGCCTGGGGAAAAAGTAGATGTACTGGTTCGATAATAGGAACTGAGCCTGGACTATATTTAAGTATGATATCTTGAAGGGCAAAAACCCCAAACTCTGAGTGTAAGACCTGGTTTAAGTTGTATATCCCAGACGACTGTACTGAGAAAACCATGAAATCATCTGACAGTGTGTGTGGTATAGAGGAAAACCATTCAAGATAAAATGAAATCCATGCAAGGAAATCTGCCATGAGATAATCAGCAGAATGGGAGAATTCACACTGAAGGAAAAAGAAATAATGGAGCAATCTCAAAAAGGATTTATTATGATTACAATTTTCAAAAAGATCAAGGAGGAGATAACATTTTTAAAGAGCACCAGATTATTAACATGATTATTAACACATTTGCCCAAAGGCAGATAAAAAGTTGGGAATCTGGACAATGAAAACTACAACAATTGAAGTTTTAAAAGCCCAATAAATTGGATAAACGGTAAACTAGACAAACTGAAAGGAGAATTTGTGAATTGAAAGATAGAAATGAGACTCATCACAACATGCAGAACGGAGAAATACAGTGTTGGAAACCAGGAAGACAACATAGATTGAGGAGGTCTGATACAGTTTCGGTAGGAATTCTAGAAGAAGATTCTAGAAGTGATAGAGGAAATAATCAAAGAATAATGCTGAGAATTTTTCGCTCTTGAGGAAAGACACGAGCCCTCAGATTGAAGAAGCTTATGAAGTGCCAGATCAACTCCTAGTTATATTACAGAACAATAGTAGACTGTTAAGGACAAAGGAAACCTTAAAAGCTGTGGGGAGATTACCCATGGAAAATGATAATCTGATGGAAGCAGACTTCTCAGCCATAATCAATTTTGGAACACTGCAACAACAGTGCTGTGGGAAAGCCGTTGTCAATCTGGTATCCAACCAAGCTATCATTCTAGAGTGCAGGTGAAATAAATACAGTTTCAGACATACAGGAGCTAATTTATCAAGAATGCCTTTGGATGGAAGTAACAATACCCAACAAACAGTGGCTAAGCAATAAAGACGTTAAGAACTAAATAATACATCTGGGAGTGTGAGATTCGAGAAGCGGTTAATTGGCTTGACAATGGTTTGACATCTGGGTATTTCTCATAGTCTCAAATGGCTGCATTAGTTTTAAGCATCATCCCTCACATTGCAGTAACCAAAGTAAGAAGGGAAGTGGCAGGTGGAAATTGGGCCTTCTTGTGTGCTTGTTTCCTACCAGGGAAGAAAGTCTTTCCCAGAAACCCTTCAGCAGAATTATCTTCAAGTTTCAGTGGCCAGAACTGGGTGACATGTTTGCCACTAGTTCAGTCACTGGCAGAAGGGAATAGGAATTCTGTGAGTGGCTTGGACTACCATGGTATATCTCCTGGGATCAAGCACATCACTGTAACAAATTAGGTTATTTTAGCAAGGAAGAAGAGACAGTGGTTGAGTTGTTCACACATGCTCAACAGTTGGCTGTCTCTGGCAAAAATTATTTGGTGTCATATTTAAGGATCATTATGCTAGTTTTGCAAGTATGACAGCTTCTAATGGAATGGAAATTTTTTTATGTGCTCTGCATAGACTTAAAAAGTTTTATGTTACTTTCACATTGAAACAGTTCATGAGCATCTATTTGGCAGTTAGAGTATTCTACTTTGACATAGTAGGTGGCACTGTTACTTTGATTTTTTTTTTTTTTTTTCTTCAAAACAGTGTGAAGATACAGGTGTGTTGGGAAATATGAAAGACAGTTTACTCAGTATTATTTCACTGACAGCTGCCCAGGATTCCAATGAAAATGTTATCTGTATAAAGTGATAATGGTATCTCATTTGACCATTACAAATGAGATACCATCACATCTTGTAAGGTAGTTTGTATTATTGTCATTTTACAGATGAGAAAATTCAGGTACGGCAAAGTTAATAAGGTGTTTGTGAATGATAGCTAAATGTAGTGTTGGTAGGACTCAAATCCATCATCTTTACTTTCAAAATCTATTGGCCTTGTAGCCTCCAAATTGACTAGATACATAAACTTTATTTTGATATTAAGCTGTTAAGGGAAGATGGAGTAGGAAGCAAAGAGTGTGTGTGCTGTGTTTACTTGATACTAACATTGAACAGGCTTAGATTTTAATTAGTTTCCATAATATTTTAAGTATTATTGTAAGAGGAGCAAGGACAGAAAGATCTTGTGGTACTAGAGTGAATGTAATAAAACAAAGACTGCCACTTCCATATCGTACCCCAGTATAGATGTGGAAAGAATGTAAGCTTTGTTTTCAGACACACCTGTGTCCAAATACTGGACTGAAAGCACAACTGGTTTCAAATCCTGGACTGATAACTTACGTGACTTTGGGCAAATCATAAACTCCTTTGAACCTTTTTACATTTACCTGTCAAATAGGGATAATCATCTCATCTTCATTTTTTATAAGAATGAATTGAGATGATATACTGTCTCTAGCAGATAGCAGGCGTGAAGTGCATGGCAGCTACTATATTACCATCCCATAATAATACATTCTTTACAGTTCTGAATGTGAAGCTTTCAAGATGCCGTTTTCTTGTAGTTTTCTTGACAGTGTTTCCCCCAAAGTATTTTAGCTATCTTAGTTTTGCAAGTGTATATGTATTAGGCACTTAGGGATGTATGTTAAAACTATCAGTTGCTTGTGTTTTACCACTTCTTATATCTTGGCTTGCTTTGACTTTATAAATGTTCTTCTTCTCCCAAATGTATAGGTCCTATGGCAGCGTATACAAAGCTATTCATAAAGAGACAGGTCAGATTGTTGCTATTAAGCAAGTTCCTGTGGAATCAGACCTGCAGGAGATAATCAAAGAAATCTCTATAATGCAGCAATGTGACAGGTAAAGGCCTGTGGGCTTTCTTTGGGGAGAATGTGGTTTTGAATTTGCTATGATTGTTTAGAGTTTGATACCTAGAGACACATTTACTTAGATATTTTGCAGAAGGGAGAATTCGATGGAATCACTGCATTTTCTTTTTGGAAAAAAATATGAAAATGGTTGTTTTTGTAGCCAACCTTCCATAATTTTTATGCGTGGCATTTGTTTTTTTGTTTTTTTTCAGTTTTTTTTTTTGTTTTGTTTCGAGACGAAGTCTCACTCTGTTGCCCAGGCTGGGGTGCAGTGGCGCAATCTTGGCTCACTACAACCTCCACCTCCCAGGATCAAGCGATGCTTGTGCCTTAGCCTCCCGAGTAGCTGGGACTACAGGCATGTGCCACTACGCCCAGCTAGTTTGGTATTTTTGGTAGAGACAGAGTTTCATCATGTTGGTCAGGCTGGTCTCAAACTCCTGGCTGTAAATGATCCGCCTGCCTTGGCCATATCCCAAAGTACTGGGGTTACAGGAGTGAGCTACCAGGCCTGGTTTTTTTCTTTTTTTCAGTGAGCCCTTTTAGACACTAGGAAGAGGAGGCAGAAGGTGGTGCTTTGTTTTTTTTTTTTTTTTTGTGATAATGATCTTTTTTACTTCCTATTGAGAAAACATTTCTGCAGAGATAGCTAAGAACAGATAATTCAAATGTTTTTTAGTTCTAGAAACCTTAGAATATCAGGTAAATCTATAAAAAAAGAGTAGTTATGTATATACTACTGTCTGTTCCTTCACATTAAAAAAAATTATTCCAGCTGAGAGTACTTAAGTATTTATTTTTGAGGAACTAAGATTTGTCAAATGTTGTAAGCAGGAAGTTAGACCAAAAGACGACCACAGAAAACCACGTGGTTTGCTCTGAAATTCCGTGACAACATGGGTTGGTCACTGATAGAGCAGGCTTCCCCAGCACTATTTAGATTAGAGACAAACACAAAGTTAGGGGCAATGCCAGTTCTAGTTAGTTGAAGATGGGTGAGAAATTCTCTCAGTTGAAGCTGCATTCATTTTTCTGAAGGCTTTTTGGTCAGCAGATCAACTTAGTACCCCCTGTTTGCAAAACTTCTACATTAGGGTTTAGGTGGGGCTACCTACTAGAAAATTAGTCCAGAAGCCTTTCAGTCTCACAGACTTGGGAATATAGTCCTTTCTTTTCTCTCTCCCTCCTTTTTTTTTTTTCCTTCTATTTTTGTGATTATTGTCTACTAGATAAAATCCCAATTTTTCTTGATTGGATTGACCAGATGAAGGTGGCAGTTTTCCATTTGCTCCTTTTTCAGATACATTTTGGAAGTTCTTTCCATTTGGCAAATTGGGACTTGGTCACTTTCGATAGACTGTGTAGGAGCTGTGTTCCAAACAGAGTATGGAAATGTCTTTAATTAAAGAAGAGATATTTTGAAGAGTCTACCCTGTGCTAAGCACTGTAAGGAATACAGTGAAATACAGAGCAGAGCCCTTGTGCTCTGGGAGCTTATAGACTAATTGGACAGGCTAAGTATATATATATATACACACACACACACACACATATACATATATATATATGTATAGAGGAGAATCTAGCCAACAATGCAAGACTATAGAGAACATATTTCAGTAGTAAATACTAGATAGTAATGGCCTGCAGTATTTAACTCCCGTCAGTACTGTATTATAGGGAGAGTAAATGTGTTGATATTTACCGTAGTCACTTTTTTCATTAATATTTTGTGTGTGTGTGTGTGTGTGTGTGTATGTATGTTTTGCTGTCCTTGTGACTTTGTGTGTGTGTTTTGCTGTCCTTGTCACTGGCATGTTTCCCGAGGTTTGAAGAGGAAATTCTGAATTCTGAGTTAATAAAGCCAATTTGGTTTTAGCATCAGTTGTTATGAAACTTTATTTGACCATGATAACCATCTAGCCAGTTAAAGCTGGCAGTTCTCAGAGGGCACATTATTTTATTTTAATAGGATATTTGATTTTTCTCTGAAATTTCTTGTTTGGTATCTCTCTTCCAGCTTGAGACCTAAAATTCCAGGTTTGATACTGAACATTTTTTCTTTATAATAGGTTGTTGTGTGTATATGTTTGTATTAAAAGTACATATGACTTCTTAGAAGAATTCAAATGAAAAGAAAAGAAAATCACTTTTCCATTTGGAGAAATCATCATTCTTTTTGTTTGTTTTTTTGAGATGGAGTCTCCTCACTCTCTTGCCCAGACTGGAGTGCAGTGGCGTGATGTCGACTCCCTGCAAGCTCCGTCTCCTGGGTTCACACCATTCTCCTGCCTCAGCCTCCCAAGTAACTGGGACTACAGGCCCCGCCACCATGCCTGGCTAATTTTTTGTATTTTTAGTAGAGACGAGGTTTCACCGTGTTAGCCAGGATGGTCTCCATCTCCTGACCTCGTGATCCGCCCGCCTTAGCCTCCCAAAGTGCTGGGATTACAGATGTGAGCCACCACGCCTGCCTGAAATCATCATTCTTAAATACTCCTTGATACACATATTCTTCCAAATCTCTTTGGAGTTTTACAATAATTACTGTTTTGTAGCCTGCTTTTTTGTTTGTTTGTTTGTTTTTGTAAACACGATGTCTTCTCATATACTCCTCTATAGCATTTTTCATGGATTCATGATATTTTATTATATGGCTATATCATTCTTTCTTTTTTTTGAGACGGAGTCTTGCTCTGTCGCCCAGGCTGGAGTGCGGTAGCACCATCTCGGCTCACTGCAACCTCCACCTCCCGGGTTCAAACAATTTTCCTGCCTCAGCCTCCCCAGTAGCTGGGACAACAGGCGCACGCTGCCATGCGTGGCAAACTTTTTGTATTTTAGTAGAGACGGGGTTTCACCATCTTGCTCGGGCAATCCACCGCCTCGGCCTCCCAAAGTGTTGGAATTACAGGCATGAGCCACTGCACCCGGCCCTGTATCATTAGTTCTTAAATAAATTCCCTAATGTTGGATGCACATTTAGATGTTATCTAAATTTCTACTTTTGTTAATAGTACTATGACGGTAACTGTTGCTTTTTGAACATTTATAATTCTTTTTTGAGGGTAAATTGTAGACATAGAAATGCTGGTTAAAGGAGCCACTGATTTTTTTATACATCTGTGATTTATTACCCTCCGGAAAAGCTATACCATTTTGCATTCTTATCAGGAGGTTGCCTATTTTATCCTTAACTATGAATAATTGATCTTTCCAGATGAGGAATTAATTTTTCTATACTTAATAGCATGAATTAAGAGATGTTTGAAGGCCATTTTATTAATTTGTATTGTCTCTCTCTCTCTCTAGCCCTCATGTAGTCAAATATTATGGCAGTTATTTTAAGAACACAGACTTATGGATCGTTATGGAGTACTGTGGGGCTGGTTCTGTATCTGATATCATTCGATTACGAAATAAAACGGTAGGTTTACCTTCTAGAACAATGCAACTGAGCTAGTTTCTTATGCTATCTTTTTTCTGCCTCTTTTTCAGTGCATTCTCCTACTAGAGAGACGACTGTCCCATTTCCCCTTTTCCATGGTTCTTTTCCGTCTTTATTCTTTTATGTCTCCTAAGTGTGACAGCTTTTTATTTTTAAGAGACAAGAGTCCCCTGTCACCTGGGCTGGAGTGTAGTGGCACAGTCATAGCTCACTACAGTTACAGCTCTACCTCCTGGGCGCTAGTGATCCTGTCACTTCAGGCTCCTGAGTAGCTGGGACTACAGACTTGTACCATCATGCCAAGCTCATGTTTTGTTTTCTTTTTAAATTTTTTTTTTGTGGAGACAGGGTCTCACTATGTTGCCCAAGCTGGTTTCGAACTCCTGGCCTCAAGCAATTTTTCCACCTCAGCCTCCCAAAGTGCTGGGATTACAGGTGTGACCCGCCCATGCCTGGCAATGTGGCAGTTTTGACACCAATTTAGTCCAGTGATTTTTAGCATGCTTTGGTTATTTCTTACTGGGAAAAAAAGTGTCTGTTAAATCTTGGTTATAGAATGAATTCTAAATGTTTAAATTTGGATTTGGATTTGGGTTTCTGCTTCTACCTAGCATGTTCAGAGATTAACTTCCTCTATTTCTGTTAATCAGAGAATAATCCCCTTATGAAAGATTATTTGCTGTTACTGTGGTTGCCAGTATAAGACCTAAGAGTCATGGGTTCTAGTTCTGGTTCAGTTACTTAATCTCTTTATGTATTCATTCAGTAAATATTTCTTGAACACTGCTTTAGGCCTGAGGAATCTAATAGTAAATAAAACAGATGACAACTCTACTGTCGTGATAGTGCACTTTGGAATAGGGCAACAAAAGCAAATTAATGGTAACTATTAATAGAAAAGATATAATAATGATATATACTATGAAGAAAATGAATGAGGATGAAGTGATGGTAAAGTTGTGGAGACTGTTTGGTGGGCTATTTTAGAGTAGTTGAGGAAGGTCACTCAGAAGTGGTGACATTTACAGGAAGACTCAAATGACAAAAAGGAGCTAAGAGTCCTGAAGGAACATTGTAGGTGGGCAGTAACCAGTGCAAAGACCTTGAGGCTGGAATGAGTTTGGCATGTCTGAGTGATAGAAGGGCTACCGTGACTAGAAGCGAATAGGCAAAGGAGAAGCTGTAGGAGATGGGGTTTGACAGGTGGGCAGGGCTAGATTGTACTGGATATTGTAGGTCATGGGAATGAGTTTGAATTTTATCCCAAGTATGATAGGAAACCATTGCTGGATTCTAAGCAAGTGAGTGAGCCATCTGATGTATGTTTTGGAAAGATAACTCTGGGGCTGGGTGTGGTACCTCATGCCTGTAATCCCAGCACTTGGGGAGGCTGAGGCGGAGGATTGCTTCAGCCTAGGAGTTCAAGGCCAGCCTGGGCAACATAATGAGACCTCGTCTCTACAAAAGAAAAAAGAAAAAAAAAATAGTCAGGTGTGGTGTCATGTGCCTGTAGTCCCAGCTAACTTTTGGGGTGTGTTGGGGGTTGAAGTGGGAGGATTGCTTGAGTCCAGGAGGTTAAGGCTGCTGTGAGCTGTGACTGCGCCACTGCACTGCAGCCTGGGCAGCAGAGCAAGACTCTGTTTCAAAAAATAAAAAAGAGAACCCTCACCTCTGTGTACATTGTGTGTGGATAAGAGAAGAAACAGGGAAAATCTTAGCCTTTAGTTTGTCTTAATAAGAAAACTAATAATAATAATACCTATATTACATATTTGCAAAGTTGGGAAAATTAATTTAAATATGTAAAAGTACTTTGTAAATTGTGAGGTGCTACATAAATTATAAGGTAAGGGTGTTTTAAAACTGAGTTATAACTTTTGGATTATTCATATGCTATCTTCTTAATTTACATTATTCAGAATTAGTGTGTTTGCTTAATCAAATAGCAAGTTCTTTAGGAATAATATCCTAACATAAGATATATGTAAAGAAGTTCCAAAACTGGAATAATTTATTGAATTAAACATTGGACTTCAGGGCTTCTATACAGCATTAAGTCAATTTATTTCAGGTATTTTAAACCAGTCCAAAGTTAATTTTGATGGCACTTTTAGTTTTTTTTTTTGCCGTTGTAATAGTAGGTTATTATATTTAAGTAAATTTTAACTTAATTACTAAGCGCCTTTTTTTTTTTTTTTTTTTGAGACGGAGTCTCCTCACTCTGTTGCCCAGGCTGGAGTGCAGTGGTGTGATCTCGGCTCAATGCAGGCTCTGCCTGCCGGGTTCATGCCATTCTCCTGCCTCAGCCTCCCGAGTAACTGTACTCCCGAGTACAGGTACCCGCCACCATGCCCGGCTAATTTTTTGTGTAATTTTAGTAGAGACGGGGTTTCACCATGTTAGCCAGGATGGTCTTGATCTCCTGACCTCGTGATCTGCCTGCCTTGGCCTCCCAAAGTGCTGGGATTATAGGCATGAGCCACCATGCCCAGCCTAAGTGCTGATTTTTAATTAGTACACGTTATTTTACCAAATGTTATAACCCTGCCCTGTCCACCGTGATATCCACTAGCCACATGTGGTTATTAAGGACTTAAAATGTGGCTAGTCTGAACTGAGATATGCTGTAAATATAAATTATACACCAGAGTTTGAAGAATTATTGCCAAAAATATTGTAAACAAAAGTCTTTAATTTTTTCATATTGATGACATGGTAGAGTGGTAATATTTTGGATAAATATGGTTAAGTAAAGCAGATTATCAAAATTAATTCTTTCTTCTTCTTCTTCTTCTTTTTTTGTTTTTTTTTAAAGATAGAGTCTTCCTCTATTGCCCAGGCTGGAGTGCAGTGGTGTGATCATAGGTCACTGTATGTTGGAACTACTGTGCCTCGGCCTCCTGAGTAGCTGGGGTTACAGCACCAGCCACTGCGCCTGCTTGTTTCCTTTTTCAATGTGGCTACTAAAAAATGAGAAATTATATTTGTGTTTCCCATTATATTTCTATTAGGCAGTGCTACTTTAACTGATTAGCTTAGCTGGTTAGAATAAAGAGGTGGTAAGTCAAGTCATGAGCTTTGTTCTCTTCCACTATAGAAGGTACCCCAGACTCTAGCCTACTACCTTGCCAATAGTGTTTGCCTGGACTTTAGTGAAAGCTTTATCATTTCTCTGTGACCTTTGGCATAAATGACTTAACTTGTCTGTGCCTCAGCTTCATTATGTATAAAATGATGATGATAGTAATAGTTCCTCCACCTCATTTAATTGTTGTAAGGATGTAATGAGATTACAAACATAGTGCTTAGCATAGATTAAACACTTAGTAACGGCTAGCCTTTATTTATTTATTTATATATTTTTGAGAAAGAGTCTGGCTGTGTCACTCAGGCTGGAGTGCACACGATCTCAGCTCACTGCAACCTCCACCTCCCAGGTTCAAGCGATTCTCCTGCTTCAGCCTCCTGAGTAGCTGGATTACAGGCGCCTGCCACCATGCCCGGCACATTTTTGTATTTTTAGTAGAGATAGGGTTTCGTCATGTTGGCCAGGCTGGTCTTGAACTCCTGGCCTCAAGTGATCTGTCTGCCTCGGCCTCCCAAAGTACTGAGATTACAGGCATGTGCCACTGTGCTTGGCTGTTTTTCATATTATTAGCATAGTACATGGTGCTTATTAAATATTGATTGATAATATCATAGGTGTTAAATTATGACACCTTATATTAATTGATTTTCATGACACTGTTAAAGAAAAGTTATATTCCTATTTTATAGATTGGGAAACAGGCTAAGAGAAGGTCAGTAACTTGCTTAAGTCACATGAAAGTAGAGCCAGGAGTAAAGGCTACATCTTCCTAATCCCAAATCCTACAGTTTTTGCACCAGAGCACACTCCTTTTCACGTGTGAGTTGTTCATCAGAAGGGGAACTGTGTTAATAGTTTGGTGATAGATTGAGTTTGTTTAGGACTGGTGTTGGGTCTGCAGAAAGTCTATATTGGACAGATGAGACATTCTATACTAGTTTCTAGCATTCTAACTTTCATTTGTTTATCATCATTCAACAGATATTTTTTTCAGTGCCTACTGTGTGCCAGGTGGCTTTATTGGTATTAGGGAAACAAAACAGACATTTTTAGGAGCTTGTGTTTCCAGCAGGGAAGATATCACATAAATAGATAAATAATGGGTAATATGTCAGATGGTAGTATACTGCAGTGACAAGGTAATTTAAGGGAATAGAGAATGAGCTAGAAATGGAGTAAGAAAGTCCTGTCCATTTTCTGAGGTGGTGATATTTGGGCAGATTGCAAACTGAGGAAGCAAATTGGATAGACATCAGGATGAAGAGAAGAGGCAGTTGAAAAGGCCCAGAAAGGGGAGTGTGCTTAGAGTGTTTGAGGAACAGCAAGGAAGCAAGCCCTTGTTGAAACAGATTGAGCCAGGTAGAAAGTGGTAGAAGGTGAAGTTAAAGAGGTAGCTGGGAGCCAGATCATGTAAAGCCTTGGTAAGGACTGACTTTTATTTTAAGTGAGTTAGGAAGACATTGGTAAGTTTTGACTCTGGCTTACATTTTAATCATAGCTTCTGTGTGGAAAATACATCATAGAGTGTCAAGAGCAGAAGCAAAGAAACCAGTCAGCAGATTATGAGAATAGTGCAGGCAGGACACGATGGTGACTTGGACCATGGTGATTACAGAGGGTGTGTTTGGATATACAGTATTTCGAAGATAGAGAAAAATCAAGGATGACTTCAAGGTTTTTGACCAGAGCAACTGAAAGAATAAAGTTTCCTTTTGCTGAGAGAGAGAGAGGACTGTGGGAGAAGTAGAGTAGGTTGGATGGATCGAGGGAGAGGGGTAACGTGGTAGACATAGAATTTGATTTTGACATGTTATGCTTATGATGCTGGCTAGGTATTCTAGTTGGAGATGTTGTATAGGCAGATACATAAATCTGAGTGAGGGGAGATCTGGTATGGAAATATAGCTTTGGGAGTGGTCAGTGTATCTATGGTATAAGCAGTCAAATGCCTTTCACAGGTCGAATAAGATCTGTTTCTATTAAAGAAAGGAGTTTGGATCTGATTTTTTCTCCTTTTTCTAATGCGCTGATGTAAACTTATAGAATTTGAACTCTTATTCTTTTTTCAGTTAACAGAAGATGAAATAGCTACAATATTACAATCAACTCTTAAGGGACTTGAATACCTTCATTTTATGAGAAAAATACACCGAGATATCAAGGCAGGAAATATTTTGCTAAATACAGAAGGACACGCAAAACTTGCAGATTTTGGGGTAGCAGGTCAACTTACAGTAAGTAAAAATATTACTTGTATTGATAATTTTCAGTTCTGTCCTGAGAAGCAGTTCCTTTTATTTGCCTATTTTAAAAATATAAAACTTGACTTAATTGTATTAGTAAGAAATTACAGAATCTGCCAATAGGTTACAAAAGAGCTAGTCCGTAGGTTATTTTAGATCTTTTCCTGGGGTTCAGGTCACATAGCTTAACTTTGTTTAACTTTTATAAAGATGAAAAATTAAACAAGAAATGATAGATTACTCTAGTGGACTACATCAACATATTTATAAAAGAAAGAAAAATTAAGTCCAAACTGCTTTCCTTGGCTAAGACATAGCATCATCTCATTCATCTTCCAGTTAGTACTTGGCAGTTACTGTACTGAAACACTCTTCGTTTGAGTCCAGGATACAGTCTCTTGATTATTCTGCCTAACTAGTGCGTGGAAGTGAAAAAGAAAAAAAAAACAAACAAACTTGTTTTCAAAATAGGAAGTCCAGAATTATTTGATTCTATAAAATACATAAGTATATACGAAAGTATATATAGAAAAATAGAAACAGTTCTAGGGAGGTATACTCTAAAATTTGCAACAATATTACATATCAAGTGATTTTCTTGGGTGATAGAATGAATATGTATAGTGTATGTTTAGAACTGGTGTTATGTACAGTTTTTTTTTTTTATTATTTTTATTTTTTTATTATAAGTCTGCCTGGGACAAGTTAGGGAGTCTCAGGTATTGTAACAGCACAGAAACTGCTTCAATGTTTAAAATAAATCAGAACCTTATTCAATATTATGATTTATGGGCTCTCCAAAAGGTTTTGTTGTTAACACACAAGTAAATAGTACCAGACAATATTATCTAAACCACAATCTTAGTAAGGAAACCAAATTGAAAAAGTACATACTCTGGTGGTCTATAAAATAATATAATATTGACTGAGCGCAGTGGCTCATGTCTGTAATCCCAGCGCTTTGGGAGGCTGAGGCGGGAGGATCACTTGAGGTCAGGAGTTCGAGACCAGCCTGGCCAACATAGTGAAACCTATCTCCACTAAAAATACAAATATTAGCCGGACGTGGTGGCACACGCCTGTAATCTCAGCTACGTGGGAGGCTGAACCTGGGAGGTTGTGCCATTGCATTCTGCACTCCAGCCTGGGCAACAGAGTGAGACTCCATCTCAAAAAAAAAAAAAGTGTATGTATATATGTACATATACATATGTACACATATATATGTATATGTACATATGTATGTATGTCTATATGATGTACATATACATATAGGTATACCTATTTGTGTGTGTATATATATGAGTATCCATTCCATTTAGTAATAATTTTAGTAATTGATTGAATACCCAATAATGACGTACAGTGTTCTTATTGCTATAATGCCTGCCTTGGCAGAATTTTTCTCCCCTTTTAATTTGTACAATTTAGTGTTTAGTATATTCACAAAATTGTGCAACTATTACCAATGTCTAATCAGAACATTTTCGTCATCCTCAAACTGTACCCTTTAGCCGTTAGTCCCCACCCTCCTCCCAGCCCTTGACAACCACTAATCTGCTTTCTGTCACTATAGGTTTGCCTATTCTGAATATTTTGTATAAATAGAATCATACACAATGTTCCCTTTTGTTTCTGGCTTCGAAAACTTAATGTTTTCGAGTTCATCCATGTTGTAACATGCATCAATTCTTCATTCCTTTTTATTGCTCAGTAATATTCCACTGTGGCTGTAGCACATTTTGTTTACTTATTCATTAGTTGAACACTTAGATTGTTTTGCTTTTTGGCTGTTAGGAATAATGCTACTATGAAATTTGTGTACAGGTTTTTGTGTGAATCTTTGTTTTCATATGATACACAGAGTTGCTGGGTCACATGGTAACTCCATGTTTAATTTTTTAAGGAACTGCCAAACTGTTTTCCAAATTGGCTGAGGTATGAGAATTCCGACTTCTCTGCATCCTTGCCAACATTTTCTTTTTTGTGTTTTTGATTATAACTATACTAGTGAGTAAGAGGTAGTATCTCTTTGTGGTCTTGATTTGCATTTTACTAATGACTAATGATGTTGATTGCCATTTCTTCTGCTTATTGGACATTTGTGTATCTCTGGGAAATGTCTATTTAAATCTTTTGCCCATTTTTAACTGGGTTTTTACCTTGTTAGTGTTGAATTTTAAAAGTTCTTTATATATTTTAGATATAAGTCCCTTATGTACATGATTTGCAATATTTTCTCTCGTTCTGTGGGTTGTCTTGAAGGTGTCCTTTGAAATGTAAAATTTTAAAATTTTGGTCTTGTCCAATTTCTTTTTTCTTTTGTCACTTGTGCTTCTGGTGTCACATCTAAGAAATCATTAGCTAGTGCAGGGTCATGAAGATTTACTCCTATGATTTCTCTGAAGTGTTTAATAGTTCTAGCTCTTATGTTCAGATCTGTAATCTGTTTTGAGTTAGTTTTCATGGTGTGAGATAGGAATCCAATTTCATTCTTTTTACATGTTGATATGTAGTTGTTCCAACATTTGTTGAAAAGACTGTTTTTTCTTTCTTGAAATGTTTGAGTTTATTTCTATGCCTTCAGTTCTCTTCCATTGACCTATATGTCTGTCCTTGCACCAGTTCTATGCTCTCTTGATTACCGTAAGTTTGAAGTAAGTTTTGAAATTGGTTAAGTGTGAGTGTTCCAACTTTGTCCTTCTATTTCAAGATTGTTTTGGCTATTCTGGGTCCCTTGTATTGCCACATAAATTTTAGGATCAGCTTGTCAATTTCTGCAGAAAAGGCCATTGGGATTTTGGTAGACATTGTTTTGAATCTTAAATCAGCTTGAAAATACTGTCATTTTGGCAATATTGTCTTCCAATCTATGAACATAAGCTGTCTTTCCATTTATTTAGATTTTCTTTAATTCTTTTAGCAGTGTTTTATAATTTGCAGTGTACAAGTTTTGCATGTATTTGGTTAAATTCATTCCTAAGTAGTTTGTACTTTTTGATGCTATTTTAAATGGATTTGCCTTATTTTCAGATTGTTCATTGCTAGTGTAACATACAATTGATTTTTGTATATTATCTTGTGTCCTGGCACCTTGCTGTACTTGTTTTTTTTTTTTTTTTTTTAATGAACTGTGAACATGTATGTTGTTTTGTTAAAAAAAAAAAAAGGAGATTTTTTTTTCCTTCACTAAAATAAACTGAAACTGTAGTATAAGATGATCTGACTTGGCTGTTTGGTTGTGAAACCTCCAGTACTACTAAGTTTAGGCCTCTCTCAGGTCTCTTCTCTAGAGGCTGTAGGCCTTGCTGGCAGCCTTCTGGGAAGTGGTGGCCGTGGGGATTGTTGGCTGTTAATGCTCATTTAATGTTCCTGATTCACAACACCACCCACACTCTCTGTAGTCTAGAGATCCTCGGTTTCACTCCCCAGAGAGTACACCTCCAGTCTAATGCCAGGGTGGGGCGAGGGAAGCCCACTAGTTGCTTGCTGGGAGAGGAGGGTTTAAGGTGCTTAGCTGCTTCTTAACTCTTTCAACCCAGGCTTCCTATTTGGATGTCCGTTTTCACCCCTCTTTTCTCTACCTGATGCCACCAATTTCTAAGCCTTTTGGAGGGGTTGGTGTTAAAATCAGGTTGTTTCCTAGTTTTCCTGGTGACTGACTCAGTATTCCATCTTATAGTCTGTTTAGTTAGTTACTACTGGGCCATCTGCTCTCCAGCTTTTAAAATTTTGTGGCTGTGGTTGTTTTCCCCTTTGTTTTTTTATTCTTCTAGATTTATTCTTAAAAAACAATCTTTTTAGTATCTTCTTGAGTGAGTTTTGAGAGAGAGTGAAAGTAAAATGTATTTGCTCAAGCTGTCATCTTTACCCAAGACTCTGTAATATTATTTCTGGTGGCAACATGGGTATTTCATTGTATGGATATAGCATGATTTATTTAACTCTTTCCCTACAGTTGGACGTTGGGTACCCATTAAGGTTGCTTAGAGTTTTCCCACCACTATAAGCATAAATTCTGTGATTAACATTCCTGCAACTAAATTTTGCAGCATTTCCTTGAGTAAATCCTTAGGATAATTTCTTTACATTGGAATCTGGGTCAGAAAATAGATGAACGTATATTGGCAAAGTACTTTTGATGCATAGTGCTGAATTTCTTCTAGAAGTGAACAATTTCAGTTTCCAACTTCAGTATATAAATGTGCTCTTTTCCCCTCATATTTGCTAATGCTGAATGGGCAGTAACTTGTATCTTTCTTGTTATTTCTCAAAGCAATTCACATATTTTTGCATTTGATTATTGGCCATTTATAATAATTTGTTTGTAAATGTTCTTTTTTGTGTGTGTCAGTTTTCCTAAGTGAATGTTGGACCTTTTTTTTTTTTTTTTTTTTCGGGACAGGTTCTTGCTCTGTCACCCAGCCTGGAGTGCAGTGACATGATCACAGTTCACTGCAGCCTCAACCACCAGGCTCAGGTGATCCCCCCACCTTGGCCTCCTGGGTAGCTGGGACTACGGACACACACCACCACCCCTAGCTAATTTTTAGTAGTTTTTGTAGAGACATGGTTTCACCATGTTGCCCAGGCTGATCTGAAACTCCTAAGCTCAAGCAATCTGCCCCCCCTTGGCATGCCAAAGTGCTGGGATTATAGGTTTGAGCCATTGTGCCTGACTGAGTGTTGCATCTTTTAAATAAATCTATTAAAAAAGATAAACCAAAACTAAAAAAATTTGTTAAAATTGTTACTCCTTTTTTTTACATGCTGAAATATCTTCTAGTTTACTAGTTGTCTTTTAATTTTGATTATGGCTTTTTAAAAAAAAATACTACATAAGTTTCCAAATTTTGTACAGAAAAGTCCATCTACCTTTTATCTTATGGTTTCTGTCTTTAATGTCATGCTTAAAAAACCCTTTTCTCCTTAACATTATAGAACAGTTTATCTATAGTTTTTTTAAAAATTATTTTATTTTATTTTTTTGTGACAAGGTCTTGCCCTGGCACCCAGTCTGGAGTACAGTGGCATGTTCATAGCTCATTTTGGTCTTAAACTCTTGGGCCTAAGCGATCCTCTTGCTTCAGGCTCCCAAGTAGCCAGGACTACAGGTGTGTGCCACTTTGCCCAGTTAAAGTTTTAAATTTTTTTGTAGAGATGGGCTCTCCCTGTTTTACCCAAGCTATTCTGGAACTCCTGCCTCAGCCTCCCAAAGTATTGGGATTAGAGGTATGAGCCACCACCCCTGCTCTGTTGCCCAGGCTAGAGTGCAGTGGCATGATTGTAGGTCTCTATAATCTTGAACTTCTGGGCCCAAGTGATCCTCCCACCTTAGCCTTCCAAGCAGCTAGGACTACAGGCATGCGCCATCATGCCTGGCTAATGTACTTTTTTTTTTTTTTTCTTGCGACAGTCTCGCTCTGTCTCCCAGGCTAGAGGACAGTAGCGCAATCTTGGCTCACTGTAACCTCTGCCTCCCGGGTTCAAGCGATTCTCGTGCTTCAGCCTCCCGAGTAGCTGGGATTACAGGTGCCTGCTACCACACCCGGCTAATTTTTTGTACTTTTAGTAGAGATGGGATTTTGCTATGTTGCCCAGGCTGGTTTCGAACTCCTGAGCTCAGGTAATCTGCCCGCCTCTGCCTCCCAAAGTGCTGGGATTATAGGCGTGAGCCACCATGCCTGGCCATCTAATGTACTTTTTTAAAGTATTCTTTGGGCTTTGTTTTTTATGTTTAAAATTTCAACTTATTTGAGCTTATTTTGGTGAAAGTATAAGGTAGGCATTTAAGTGTAGAGTTCTACAAATGACTAACTAGATTCCCAGTGCTTTTTTTTTTCATAATCTGTTCTTTGCTTGCTGATTTTAAATGACATTTTAATCATAAATCGTATTATATATGTGTGCTATATATATATAACATGTATATGTGTGCATATATATTTAACAAGTTTTATATAGCACATATATATGATATATACACACACACACTCACATATATATATACACACATATGCCATAGTCAACTTCTGAACTTTATATTTTTTATTGCTATGCTATTGTACTAATATAACTTTATAATACAAATCTAAGTGGGGTTAGTGTACAATCATTACTCTTAATAATTTTCAAAAACTTTCTAGCTATGCAAGTAACCATTTCTAATTGAAATAATCCAGTGAAAACAACTTTGCCACCATTTGAAAACACCCCTGCAAATTTGAAGTTTCAGAGCTAAGGAAATGACTAAGCAGTAAGTTAGTTCCTGTGTTAATTTTTTACATAGGACTGACAATGAGATTGATTTAAATGACCTGTCATTTGCTTCTGACTGGCGTAACCTAAGTCACAGGCATTTCAGAAGGAATATCAGTGATCATGATTGGAAATCCTTTCTTGTATTTAGTTCTGTTTAAAAATCCTTCTTTTGCTGGGCGTGGTGGCTCATGCCTGTAATCCCCTTTGGGAGGCCAAGGCAGGTGGATCACCTGAGGTCAGGAGTTCGAGACCAGCCTGGCCAACGTGGTGAGACCTTGTCTCTACTAAAAATACAAAAATTAGTTGGGCATGGTAGTGGGTGCCTATAATCCCAGCTACATAGGAGGCTGAGTCTGGAGAGTTGCTTGAACCCCAGGGGCGGAGGTTGCAGTGAGCCGAGATTGCGCCTCTTCACTCTAGCCTGGGCAAAAGATCAAAACTCTTTCTCAAAAAAAAAAAAAAAAAAAAAAAAAAAAAAATTCTTTCTTTTGTTAAAGCGTAGGAACTGTAGGGAGGTTCTCTTTCAGTAGGGCCATGCTATCCTGAGAAAGTATGCAAGTGGTTATTTGCTGTAATGTGTACTATATCCACATATTCTTCTTTAGGCCACAAACTAAGATATTTTGTATATTATTTTTTATATATCAATTTTTAAATTTTTTTACTGCATATGTATGCTCATGTAAACTTTCAAAATGTTACAGATGTATACAGGATAGAGGGTAAAAACCTTTAGTGGTTTTGCCTACTAGATATAACTATTATTAATAGTTTAGTATGTATTACTCCAGATTTTTTATACTATGATATAACAGCATTTCTTATTACTGGTAATTGTTTTATTATTGTTATGATCATCATTATTATATATATATTCCTTTTACAAAAACAGGGCTATATTACATATAATTTTACAATTTTTTTTTGCTTTGTAATAATGTATGTTGTGAATTTTTTCCATGCTAGGAAAAGGTATATATCTTCATTTTTTTTCTTTTTAATGTGGTGTTTCAGTATACGGTTATTTATTATATTTAACTTCTTATCTTTTGATGGTCATTTGAGTTGTTTCCTTTTCCTCCTCATCCGCCCATTATAGACATTTCTACAGTCTTTGTGCATATAGTTTGGAACACTTGAACATAAGATAGATTTCAAGAAATAGATTTGGATCAAAGGATGTGAATATTTAAAAGTTGAATAAATATTGCCAACTTACGTACTAAAATGTACCCATTTATACTGCAGTAACATTGTATTTCAGTGCCTGATTTTCTATGCTATTATCAGCATTATTAATTTAAAATTTTTTGTCAATCTTAGTTTGTGTTTTAATAATTAGAATCTTTTTGTGTTTCTTTGTCATTTGAATTTCTTCTCTGCCTGCTTAATCATGCTCGGAGTATAGTTTTTATATGTACAAGTACAAGGCATTTTTTTATTGTTGGAAAAGCCTCTTTTTCTCAATAGTTTTTTTTTTCTTCTTTTTTTTTTCTGTAGACATCTCAGTAGTTTTAAGCTTAGTGTCGGTCTCTCTCCCTTTCTATTTTAGGATACCATGGCCAAGCGGAATACAGTGATAGGAACACCATTTTGGATGGCTCCAGAAGTGATTCAGGAAATTGGATACAACTGTGTAGCAGATATCTGGTCCCTGGGAATAACTGCCATAGAAATGGCTGAAGGAAAGCCCCCTTATGCTGATATCCATCCAATGAGGGTAAGGAAGTAGACAGAAAGCCAGTGGCGTGGTTAGTTACTGATCATCATTAAAAAGTTAAGTTCAAGCCAGGCGTTGTGGCTCACACCTGTAATCCCAGCACTTTGGGAGGCTGAGGTGGATGGATCACCTGAGGTCAGGAGTTTAAGACCAGCCTGGCCAACATGGTGAAACCCTGTCTCTACTAAAAATACAAAAATTAGCTGGGTGTGGTGGCTTGTGCCTGTAATCCCAGCTGCTTGGGAGGCTAAGGCATGAGAATCTCTTGAACTCCGGAGGCAGAGGTTGCAGTGAGCCGAGATCGTGACACTGCACTCTAGCCTGGACAAGAGACTCTCAAAAAAAAAAAAAAAAAAAAAAAAAATTAGTTCGATGGCTTACTTGATTAGGTTGCAAACAATAAATGAATTATGTGTAATTCGTGTCACTATAGATGATATACCTCTACTGACTCTAGTTGTAGTCATTAAGTGTGTTCCACCCCTCTCCATTCCAGAGGTTGTGTATTGATAGCCCTCTGGCAGGACGTAGGCCATAGAAATGCTTAGTTTGATTTGCACTACACACTCTCTCTCTCTCTCACACACACACACACACACACATACTCTCACTAACTCACTCACTTTGAATAGTTTGGGCAACTACTTTTTACCATGTCAACATTCTCACTGGAGCTGAGTAGTGGTTGTCTCCTTTATACAGAGTATGAACTTTCTACTTTATCAGTCTCCATGATTCCCCGTTGTGTCACCAAGTATCAGCTGCCACTTATTACAGTATTTCTCTAATGTTTTTCTTATAATAGTATTAAGAAGAAAGCAAACTGTATTTTTGAACTCATGTCACTGAAACCCAGCCTTGTTCATTTTTTGTCTTGCTTCTGCCTGGCCCCTATAGGTGTTTGAATTTATAAGTTCTGGCTTGTAGATTCCCAGATTCTCTTCATCTGGAGACTGTGTACTCTCCAACCTCTATCTCCTTCTAGAATGTTAAGGGCCCATGGAATGCATCTCCAGTGAAGCTCTTCCAGTGCTGACACCCTAAGCAGTTCCCAGGCTTAACTGTCCCAGAACCCTTCATCACAGCACTGTTGTAACACCCGCCCCCAACCCTGCCTTCCTCAGGGGCTCTGTGGTCCTCTCCATCCTTCCCTACCCCAGCTCTTCCTCTTCTCTGATTAATTAATTCTCCTATTAAGAGACTTACAAAAATTCATGTTCCCAAGATAAGTCCTCCCTCTTTTTTGGGAGAAGGAGCGAGGAGATTTACTAGTTACAATTTTAGATTTAAATAATATAATTTAAGCTGCTTATTTGTATAGTGTTTTACTTTTCAAAAAACGTAGCTTTTTTAAAATTGGAAATTTAATAAATAATAGTCTTATTTTTGGAAACAGTAGAATGTAACTGCAACATAGTGGGCCAATTTTTAATTTTTCCCCCTCACACATACGTTGATTTAGCTTAGTTTGGAAGTTAATGACCCCATTGTGATTTTTGGGACTTCTGGTTAATGACTTTATTGTGTAGTTGCTGCTGACATCTGGGGGTGGTAATAACTTTTAAGAGGCAGGGAAACTTGACAACCATGGGGCCAGGGTTATCTTGAGGATGTAGATACTCTTCTGTCTCACCTTTCTACTTTAAAAGGCAATGTACTGTGGTTACCAAAATAATAATAATAAAGCTTGATCGATGTTGTGAGGTTTAGGGAACAAGACCCATATATGAGAGAGGGAAAAGGAGAGAGGGAGATATATCAGGTTCTTTAACCGTCAGGCTTTGTACTTGCAAATCCTTAGACTTTTGTTGGAATTTGGGTGAGCCTCTCAGTGGATAAGTGAAAAATTATTTACTAAGCTTCAAATGTAATTCCTGATGTATTTTTTTTTTATTGGAGCATTACTTTTATTTTACCAGATCTTTTTGCTTGTTTGTTTGTTCTAACCAGGCAATCTTCATGATTCCTACAAATCCTCCTCCCACATTCCGAAAACCAGAGCTGTGGTCAGATAACTTTACAGATTTTGTGAAACAGTGTCTTGTAAAGAGTCCTGAGCAGAGAGCCACAGCCACTCAGCTCCTGCAGGTATGAATCACCCTCTGATGCCGCCTCGCTCCATTTCATTTACACACTAACCGAAAGATGCCATGAGGTCACCTACGTGGAGATAGTAAGGAAGTATAAAGCAGGCTGGGTGCAGTGGCTCACGCCTATAATCCTAGCACTTTGGGAGGCTGATGCAGGTATATTCCTTGAGCCCAGGAGTTGGAGGCCAGCCAGCATGGTGAAACCATATCTCTACAAAAAGAATGCAAAAAATTAGCCAGGTGTGGTGGCATATGCCTGTAGTTCCAACTACCTGGAAGGCTGAGGTGGGAGGTGGGAGAATCTCTTGATCCCAGGAGGTTGAGCCTGCAGTGAGGCATGATTGCGCTGCTGCATTCTAGCGTGAGCAACAGAGTGAGATGCTATCTCAAAAAAAAAAGTAAAAGAAGTTTAAGACATTGCCTGCCTCTAGGGAGGTTCAAATCTATTTGAGTGGAAAAGACATTGAAAAGAATGTTAAATCATCGAACAAGACAATAATGCAAGAAAATACAGGGCAGTATGGGATTAGAGAAAGGGAATTGACATTTAGTGAGTGCCTGCTGTGCGCCACATACTTTGCACATGCGCCATTTAATCGTTACATAGACCCTGTGAAGGGTGGGTATTAGTTCAGTTTTATAGATGAAGAAAACGGAAACTTAGGGAGGTTTACTCATTTAGGGTCACTCAGCTGGTAAATAGCACAGTCAGTATTAGAACTTGAATCTTTATTCCAAAGCAGGGGTACCATCAAGTCTACCTGAGTCTGACAAAGAATTAAGATCAGTGGTGGGTACTGTTGTAGTTCAGGGTGGGAGAAGGCCTCTTTGGACTGGAGATGCAAAAAGTGCTTTCCTGGAGTAGGTAGCTTCTAGGCCTGGCCCTAGAAGGATAGGTGGGATGGGGCAGACAGTATGCTTAGTGGTTAGGAGCTTGGATCCTGGTCAGATTGCCCAGGTTTGAATCCTGGCTCCCAATTTACTAGCTTTGTGATCTTAGGCAAGTAACTTAACCTCTCTGTTCTTTTAGTTTTGTGATCTATAAAATGGGGATACAGTACCTGCCTCATGTGTTGTGATGATTAAATGATATAATGTGTGTTACTTTGAACAATGTTCACATGTACTGAAGACAGTATGGTATGAACTTGATAAATATCAGCTATTATAATTGGGCTAGACCAATCATTTGCAGCCGTTTCAGACCCAGTGCCCCCTTTTTATAACAATGTGTATATTTAAAAACTCTCATTACTTTTTTGGAATGAAACTCACATATAATAAAACCTTTTTATACCTGTAATTTAAAAAGAATCAATATTGTCTGTGATGTGATGGAGAAAAATAAAGATAATTTATAATGAAATAATATGACTTTCAATTTGCAAATAATTCTGCCTGACCCAGTTTGCAGACATAATGAAATAGATACCTGTGCCTGGCATCATGAATGAGTTTAGATTTAAGAGCTGTAAGAAAATCAGAAACTAGCCAGGCACAGTGGCTCATGCCTGTAATCCCAGCACTTTGGGAGGCTGAGGCAGGCGGATCACTTGAGGTCAGGAGATCAAGACCAGCGTGGCCAACATGGTGAATCCCCATCTCTACTAAAAAAATACAAAAATTAGCTGGGCATGGTGGCACATGCCTGTAATCCCAGCAGGAGGCTGAGGCAGGAGAAGCGCTTGAACCCGGGAGGCAGAGGTTAGAGTGAGCTGAGATTGTGCCACTGCACTCTAGCCTGCGCAACAGAGCAAGACTCCATCTCAAAAAAAAAAAAAGAAAAAAAAGAAAGAAAATCAGAAACTACACCATTTAAGAAATACAGTAAAAAGAATGAATGGACACTAGCATGAAACTGATGTTAAATAATAACAGGCCAGATTTATTTGTCTCTGATTACAGAAGGTGGGATATGATCTTGTAGCTTTTCCAAGTGGAAAGAACAAAGCAATATGATATTATTGCAAATGAGCTGAGTCTTATTTCTAAGTGGATTGCCAAATTCTTTTCCTACCTGGATGGGGTAGTGACAAAATGTCATGGAAATGTATCTTCTGTATTGCAATCTGACCACATTTTGAGGTATACTTTCCATCTCTGGAGTTCTTACTTGGAACTTGTATCCTTTGATGGGTGATGGAGAACAGAGAATGGATTGCCAAGGAACAATGGGGACAATATTGGAGTAAGTTTGGAAGACAATAGGCAATTCCCCAAAAAGAATTTCCATGTGTAACTTTCACAGCATAGATTTCTTACCACGTGCTACAAATACAAATAATAAAAACATATGATGGTATTAATGTTAAAAACTTATAAAGCAATTTTTATTAATGAAATTGAACAATATCCCTTTGTTTCAAGTATCTTTGGTGATTGAATAATATTTGGGTCAAAATCTGTTACATATATATGATCAGTTTAGTATTTCTGTAGCAACTGCATTTTTGCACTAAAATCCTTTTTACCTAAATGTGTAGTTGGAAATGCTACCGTAGAACAAGTCAGATGAGTAGATTTTTCAGTGATTTCTAAATAATTTCTTTATTCCATTAAGCCCCCCTCTCTAAAATCACCTCCCAAATCACTGGCCTTTTTGCATATCTCTTGAAAACATTTTTTTGGTATTATCTACTAAGGTGTGTACACAACCTGAGACATTTGAAAGATGTGCAGAATCTGCCACAGTTCCTTGTTGTACAGGACAGTTCTGTACTTTGCAGAATTGCTAGTGTCCCATGCCATTTGTGCTCACCAAACATTGTGACAGCTATAACATGTTCCCAACATGTTTACACAACTTCCTCCAGGAGATGATACTCCCTATTGAGAATTGCTAGGTTTGACAGAGAGAAATGGCGTAGGCATTTCAGCCATGCTGAAAAAGATGGGCAAAGACTGAATTTGCTCTGCTCAGAGTTATAAAGGGAGTGTGGTTTAGCTGTTGTCCAAAGCACAAAGAGAAAGATCAGATTCATTGATTGACTCAACACATGTTATCCAGTACCTACTGTATTCTAGGTACTGTTTTGGCACTGTCACTATATAAATTGTCCACAGTATTTTTTACTTTATTCTTTAAGCACCCATTTGTCAAGAGTGCCAAAGGAGTGTCAATACTGCGAGACTTAATTAATGAAGCCATGGATGTGAAACTGAAACGCCAGGAATCCCAGCAGCGGGAAGTGGACCAGGACGATGAAGAAAACTCAGTGAGTGGCAGCCATTGCTGTGGGCCTCAGGCATTGATGCTTGTTATTTTATGATTGCCAAACCAGGTAAGATGAGTAGGAGGTATTGGATCAACTTGGAGCTGGAGGCTCTTCCAGCATAGCTATGTCCTAACCTGGACCAACTCATGCTAGAGGGTTGCTGTATCTGTACTTGTTCTTCTCCCAGTGCTTCCTAAAACACCTTCAAATTTCACTCTTTTGCCCCCCTATCTTTTACTCAATTTAACTTTTTATTTAGAGAGAGAATGCTCAGGTCTGGGATTTGGCTTTTCATATCCTTTTAGGGAATCTGGGATCCATACTTAACATGTAGCTTTTACATTTATAGACTTCCTCACAACCCTGAGATTCCAAAGATGTTCACATGAGTTTTTTAGATCTATGTTGCAAAACTCTATTAAGAAGAGTGGAGAAAGAATTCCTTTAGGGTTAGATACAAAGCTTATTATCATGTGGATAAGTTTGTCGTCTTTGCTTAAGGAACAGTGCTTTCATTTCTGGAAGGTGAGTTTAGGACCTGAATAAGTGTTAAATGTCGAAATATTTTCACTAAGTAGTAGCTATTCAGAAAACTCAAAGTCTTTTGTCAAATTAGCCCCAATTTGAGATTGTATCCGTTCACAGGAAGAGGATGAAATGGATTCTGGCACGATGGTTCGAGCAGTAGGTGATGAGATGGGCACTGTCCGAGTAGCCAGCACCATGACTGATGGAGCCAATACTATGATTGAGCACGATGACACATTGCCATCACAGCTGGGCACCATGGTGATCAATACAGAGGATGAGGAAGAGGAAGGAACTATGAAAAGTAAGGCTTATCTAAGTAAATCCACTGACTTCTCAGACCAAGCATACATATTTCAGAGAAGACAGATTCTCATGGTTTATGCAGGCTTAGCTTTGAGTTCTTTCTTTTGTCACAACCAAAGGAGTAGAAAACTTGGAGGTTTGCAATGGGGGCAGGAGGTTTGGGGAAGGGGAAAGCTGACCTGTGGAGTCAAAAGTCAAGAAAGCATCAACAGTGAGAAAGGATTTTGATTTTGAACCAGAACAGCCATTTTCTCATTGAATGTTGTCATTATTTTCCTTCCTTACCTTGATCTTTGGAAGCACATGCATTGTTTGATGCATAATTCCTATCAAGGTGTAATGACATTCTGAGTTATTTACTGTACATACATCTTCAGTTTATTTTCATGACAGTTTGGGTCTAACGCAAGTTTACCAACACTGTCAGTCAATGAAAGATGACTGGACAACTTGAAAAGTTCCATCCAGTTTCTTCTACTTTAAACTCATCTCTGCTTCTTTCCATATCTGGCTGATCCTTTTTTGCCTGTAACTAGGCCTAACACCTTGTGTTCAGCTCCTATCTTAGAGTGAAATTCTTGTGTCATTCAGTGCTTGTGGTGCTTTATGTTTCATCCCCTAAACTCAAGATTAAGGCACCCTAGAAATCTCATGTTTGGTGATATACAAATTATCAACTAAATGCCATGTACTAGATTGCCCTTCTCCTCCTCTTCTGTTTTAAAAGTATGTTCATTTTGCAGTAATGAGTTACTGACCTCTGGTTCTTTTCATTGACTCTGAGTGCTAAATCGTCTGCTTGTCTTAAGGGGTTTAATTATGTAGATGATTATAATCACTGTGCAATACAACTAGGCCGACCTGTGAGCATGTGTTGTGTATGCACGTGTTAGGGAAATTGTGCCCATTTTTATTCAAAGAATTAATTTTTTTCCAAATGTGATTTTCATAATTCAAATGCTAATTCAATGAGTTGTTTATTCTTTTCAGTTTCTGAACTTGGATAGTTTTAGCATGTCTAATGAGAAACATGCATCTTTTATTATAATCATGAAGAGAACTATTTAAAAACCTAAGCAGTCACAGTCTGAGTAACATTAAATAAAATTTGTTCACAGACAGTCTTTTGCAGGTTTTGTAATTCTCCCTTTTGGATTACAGATTTGATAGATTTGCCACTTATTTTGAGATTTTAAAAAATTCCTTATTGTTTTAGGAGTTACTTAAATTTGGAAAATTAAAACATACATACAATTACACAATAATATCATGACCCCTGTGGACCTATATCACTCAGCTTCAGCAGTGATCAACTCACTGCCCATCTTATTTCAGCCCACTTCACCAAAAAGCAAATAGTAAACACTCTGTAAAAGTATTCATTTTTAAGGCCATAAAAAACGGTGAGAGGAGGAAGGGGAAAAAAAGATTCTTAAGGTAATGGAGACTTCAAAGTCCTAATTTATAGGACATGCTATGACATCAGTGGTATTTTGGGTGAGATTTTTTTTTCCCGAACAGCAGGACACATTATTGAAATTGAAGTGGCATGAGAGGGTCTTTGTCAGTGTTAGGATCACTGTGCATTCTCTGGGCCAGCAGAGGGAGCTCTGTATTAAGTTAATGGGTTATAATTGTGTTCCCATTTAAGTTTACAAATGCCCTGTATATAAAGGTAGGCTTTATGCTAGTACAAGACCATTATTTATTCATTTTTAAGTATATTTTAAGTAACTACAGTGATATTAGGGCAATGTCTTTATTTTATTTAGTTGGGAGATTGGATACCTCATACTTGGCAAAGTTCAAATAAGAAGTCAGCTAAAACATCTCAAAATAGTCACTTTTTCTCTCCCTTCCCAGATTTCTCAGTGGACTTGACACAATTGGTGTTCTTTTTCTGTAACATGGTACCATGCATATAGTTTTGAAACTGTAATCAGCTAAAATGGCCTTACTTGAATAATTGAATAAATTTTTTAAAAACCTAATAATTCTTATGTAGAACTGACTTGAAAGTTCTTGTGTAGAACTGACTTAAAAAATATATATATATACACATACATATATATATAATTTAAGTCAAGTTGTTGGGAGCCAGGACTAAGGCTTATGTTACAGTAAATTACAGTAAAAGTATATATATTCATGATATATATCAGGAATTTGTTTTTATTTACAATATGAGCTCTAGTAGTCTGTTTTATTTTTCCATCTGAAAGACTTGCTTCCTCCCTCTATCCAGGTCTTTGATCCTGTCACCTTCTCAGTCCTTCTTTGACCATTTATCTACAATAGATTTCCCATCCCCTTCTTATTTTTCTTTTCATCACAGATTACTTCTTGAAATTTATATCACTATTCTCCCATATAAATTTTTTTTTTTTTTTGAGATGGAGTCTTGCTCTATCACCAGGCTAGAGTGCAGTGGTGCAATCTCAGCTCACTGTAACCTCTGCCTCCTGGGTTCAAGTGATTCCCCTGCTGCAGCCTCCTGAATAGCTGGGACTACAGGCGCATGCCACCATGCCTGGCTAATGTTTTGTATTTTAGTAGAGATGGGGTTTTACCGTGTTGGCCAGAATGGTCTCGATCTCCTGACCTCGAGATCCCCCAACCTCGGCCTCCCAAAGGGTTGGGATTACAGGCGTGAGCCGCTGCACCCAGCCTCTCCCATATAAATTTTAGGATCAGTATATCAAATTTTATAAAATACTACTGGAATTTTGACTTCATTGCATTGGATACATAGATTAATTATGCAGAATTGCCATCTGTATGTTAATTCTTTCTGTGCATGAACATGGTTTATTTATCTTTCGATCTGTTTGATCTATCTTTCATATTCTTAGATAATTTTATAATTGTACCCACGAAGATGTTTTAGAGCTTTTCGTTAAATTTATTTTTAGATACTTATTTGTTGCTATTACAAATGACATAGTTTAAAAAACCTTTGTTTCTAACATTTTCCTTCTATAGACAACTAGTATACATATTTATGGACTGTTTTATTCTTTCTGGCGATTTCCTTTTTAAAAAAATTGAGACACTCTTATTGTCTGTGAATTATGATTATAGTTTTTCCTTTTGATCTTTATATATAATTTTTTTTTTTTTTTTGAGACACTGTCTTACTCTGGAATGCAGTGGCATGATCCTAGCTCATTGCAGCCTTGAATTCCTGGGGCCAAGCAATCCTCCTGACTCAGCCACCTAAGTAGCTGGGACCACAGGCATGTGCCACCACACCCGTGATTTTCTTTTTTTTTTGGTAGAGATGGGATCTCCCTATGTTGCCCAGGCTGATCTGGAACTCCTCCTGGGTGTAAGTAATCCTCCTTCCTCAACCTCCCAAAGTACTGGGATTACAGGTGTGAACCACCAAGCCTGGCTAAGGTTTTTTTTCTTATTAAGACCTCCAATACAGTGTTGCATAGTAGAGCTGGTAGTGGACCTTCTTGTCTTATTGCTCACTTTAAAGAAAATTTTGGGAGTTTTTTACCATCGAGTCTGATTTTGCAGCAGAATTTGGTCAATACTCCTTAACAGGCTAAATAAGTTTTGGTCTATTTTTAGTTTAAGAGGTTTTATAAAAAAAAAAAAAAAAAAAAAAAAATTCTTTAATTGATGTTATTTTGTAGTTTTTTAAAATTTGAATAATTAGCTTTTTAATTTTCTTGCTTGCTAATACATTTATTCAACATTGTAACTTTTTATCTTAGTTCTGTTTTAGCTGTATTCCATACATTTTCATATGTGGTATATTGTACATATTTTTTTCCAGTGTGTAGTGCTTGTGCTATGCGCATTTATTTTTTAACCCATGAGTTATTCAAAAGTGTTTTTTAATAGCAAATGTATGATTTTTAAAAACTGCTTATTTAAAAATTTTAATTTATAGAATTATGGTTGAAGAATGTGGTCTGTGTTATATCAATTCTTTGTTACTTTTTGAGACATTCGTGGCCTATCATGTTATTAATTTTTGTTAAATGTGCTTTGTGTGTCTTAGAAAGAATGTATTTTCTAATTGTTTGGTGCAGGAATCTATATAATTAGTAATCAGTTGCTAATTGTCTTTCATTTGTCTATTCTTTACCAATTTTTGGTACTTGATCTTTTAGCTTCTGAAGGAGATTTGTTAAAATTGTTAAATTGTTAAAATTGTCACTGTGTGGTTGTGGGTTTTGTTAATTTTGGTATTACTAACATATGTCATCCAAAGTAATATATTAGTGGCACTGAATACAATTGGTAGTACTGTGAAAATGATGGAAAATTTTACATATTTTCTGTTTTATATTGTTATATATTTTCTCTTTCTTTTATCTTAATATGCAGAAAAATAGTTTCACCATTATCTGTTTTCAAGTAACCATTTTGTTTTTAAAGGAGAAGAATTTCTTCCATTTTATTTGATCATTATGAAATAGGGTGTTAATATTTAGAGCTAAAATGAAAAGGGTCTGGGATGCGGTGGCTCATGCCTGTAACCTCAGCACTTTGGGAGGCCAAGGTGGGTATATCACTTGAGGTCAGGAGCTCACGACCAACCTGACCAGCATGGCGAAACCCCATCTCTACTAAAAGTACAAAAAATTAGCTGGACGTAGTGGTGCGCGCCTGTAATCCCAGCTACTAAGGAAGCTGAGGCAGGAGAATTGCTTGAATCCGGGAGGCGGAGGTTGCAGTGAGCCAAGATCGTACCACTGCACTCCAGCCTGGGTGACAGAGCAAGACTCTGTCTCAAAATAAAATAAAATAAAATAAAATGAAAAGGATTAATTTTATACTTGACGTAGAAAGAATCCAAGCTTTCACGACGTTATTAAATATTTAAGAAGTCAATTATATGTTTGAGAGCAAAAAAGAAAATTTTTTTTAGAGGCAGAGATAACAAAAACATTTTGGAGTGACTGAAGTAGCTTGATTTGCACAGATTTGTAGTTTAGCAGTTAAATGCTTTTGCCCCTTGTGAGGAAATGACTAGCCAAA